CAAAACCATAAGGCAGAATAAACTAAACGAGGCGGAAGAACCCAAACAAGACAGGTTTCTGGACAAAGGAATTACAAGGAGTTAAGAGTTCAGGCTTTTCAAAACCATAAGACAGAATAAACTACACGAGGTGGAAGAACCGAAACAAGACAGTAAACTCAATCAAGTCAAAAAAACACCCAATCGAGTCAGAACACTCAAATACAAAATACAGCTTGATTTACACGTGAAAAAATTCAAGAGATGTAAAGATCTCACCAAAACCCCTTATTAGGGTTTCAAGAAAAGAACACGAAGAGCAGCTCAAATAAAAGTCAATGTCAAGATCGAGTGCACACAGTATCAAAATCTCCCTCCAAACCCTCTGATACCACTGTTGGGAGGAGTTGACAACATTAGCTCACAAGAAATCAACAAATATAAGTGCAAAAATCAGAAACTAAATGAACTAAAATTAATGTTAATAAACCGAGGTCAAGTACTATAAATATGAACAAATACTAAGTAAACTGCAAGAATAAAAAGAAGAAACCGTATCTTTATTCATAAGACCCACAGGCCAAAGTTCATCCAATTGTGCTTCAATCACACAAGTATAACCACTGTTATTGTACAAATCAAACCCACGGGAAGATTTCAAAAGAGATTAGCACTCAGACAAGCCCTTTGACTCTTCACTAACAATCTGTTTCACACAAGAACCAATACCCAATACAAGTAAATCACTCAAGATTACAGCTATTGAGAGAAAAATCAAAAGAGATTATTTGATTTCTCAAGTGAAGAAGAGAGAATCTCGAGAGAACGGCATAGTGATGAAAGAAAAATGGAAGACGCTCGAAGCAAGAAGTGTAAATCTCGAACCCTAGGAGCCCATTTAAAGAAGTCACTCTACAATCACCAATCCAACCGTGATGGAGGCGACACGTGATGACATCATTGGCGTCCATTTCATCAGGTAAGTGAAGAACGTGATTTCAGCTTCACAGAACACGTTTTTCTTGCACCAAAGAACCAAACAGATTTAATAAGCTGGACTTCAATTAATTCCAACTGGGCTAGCTCAAAAAAAAAGGCCCAATGGGCATAGCATCATTGTGCCAATATTTTCCCTTCATATCCAAAACAACAAAATCTTCTTCTCAATAAATTTGTTGTGAGGTACAAGAATCCTTTTTCGCCACTCTGGTCTGTTGCAAAATCTACTGAAAGATCCATATCAATAACAGCCTCATTTGATCTGTGCAAAATATGTCCCAGCTACTTAATTTTATCCTCATTCGGTGCTCATTATATCTGAAATTATGTTCCTAAAATCTTTATATATTTGGCAGGGCATTGCTAGGAAACTAGTCAAAGCTGCACTGCATGAAGCAGCCAAGAAAAGAAAAATGTGATATTCTGACCTGAAAAGGATTGACCGCGGAGTGAGAAGACATTTTCACGATGACATCACTGTTATAGTTTTGTTTTTGGACTCTCATTTGATTAGTCGCAGTTCCTTCCACAGACCAATCCTTTCGATAAAAGGAGGTATTCCTTGAGATGTCAATACCTAGTATAGCAGGCCTTCACGTCACCTGCCACATTAATTTCAATTGGTTTATTTTTGTTTTACATTTTCATCAAAGGGAATAGAAAAATGTATAGAGTCGCTTCAGGAATCTCACCGCCACTCGATAATGTTAATGATTATGCCAGCTAGGAAGATGCATGGAGAACACCGGGTTGAAATTTTCAGCTGATTGGCATGTGAACCAGGGGAATCGATGAGGAATACAGCGACACTGGTTTATTGTTCAGTGGATATAGTTTGAAAAAATCAAGATTTTGCTCTATAATCTATATCCAGTTCCAGATTCTTTTAAGTATTTTGTCCAGATAATTTAACAGACTCAATGACATGGGACACATGTCAATACATGATTGGACTATTTGAAAAAAAAAAAACACACACACACAGAGCATTCAATCATGTGCTCCCCCCCCCCCCCCCCCGACCCTGTTCAAGGAGCATTATTCTAATTTGCATACATTCAGGCCAGATTTTTTTCCTGAATAATGCTGAACGTACAGGGCCCTATATATGTACCACCGTCCTTCTTTCTTTTCCTCATTTTGGTTTCTTCTAATTGTTGGGGCTTTTATGATACTAGTAAGACGTACGTACAATGCACGTGTCATAGTATAGTTGGCTATATAATAGCGTAAATATAAAAAAAATTATTTGTCTTAAGCATTAGTTACATTAAACTTAAAACACTTAAAATGATGATAGGTGACAAAA